CGCTGACGTCGATGGCGCTCACAGACGCAGGAAAGTTCGTCGCGAGGGCAACCAGGACGCAGAACAAGACAACGGAGCTCATGTTGTAGTTGATGTCTTGCTGTATTGTTAAGAGATGAGAGAACTAACCACTTGGCACTTGTAACGCAAAATGGATTATGAGCTCGAGGAAGCCACAAAGACGACGTACTTCCTTTTACGTGTAGACGGGCTCTCCGTGGTGCTACCTTTTGCATGGTTTGGAAGGACGCTTCAATTGTGTGACATTTTGACCAAGGGTCAAGTTGGCCATCCGATTGGCTCAAATGTGAAACCGATTTCATGGATAGCCAATCACATTGCCACAAACACCTCGTGGACGTGTACGGGCTCTACGTGGTGCTACCTTTTACATCGTTTGGAAGGACGCTTCATTTGTGTGACGTTTTGACCCAAAGCCAAGTGAACACAAGTGAGTACACCTCAAGGAATGAAACAATGTGATTGGCTGAAAATCCACTGGTTAGTCAATGAGCACAATTCGGTATTTTAGCATTGCTTCCGCAGAAACAGCGACAATGCTTGGAATGCAAGTAGATGCAGGCAATGTCGAGCTCGTTGTGTCGCTTTAACGTGTGACAGGAAGCATCACCACGGGTTGTGTCGTCAGCAAACATCTAAAGCAACACAGATTGACTGGTGGCGTGTCCGTTCTGACTTGATTGACTGAAGGGACATCCACTTCTCTGGTCAAAGTTTTTGACTTCCACAACAGCAGCGGAATCGTAATCATGAACAGCCTAGGCGACTTCGATAAGAACGATGGGAAGGAAGGAAGTCCTGTTTACTGGGTTGATATCGCATCAACACAACCCAGAGCACGGCGGCACTTAATCCAAGTCGCTGTTTGCATGTGTATGTCCGGAACTCTAGTTTCATGTACTTCGCGTAGGGTTAATGCAAGTTGCATCCCACTTGCTTCATGTCAACGTTGGGTTGGTACTGGAAATGTGTCAAGCTTCCGCTGTTCACCTGATAGTCGCTATTGACCTTTACTTCCCCACGCTCGTCGCGGTCGATTGGCCAATGGAATGACCGTTTCAAGTTTAAGCCAATCAAATTATTCTATTGACCTTTAGTAAAACTAACTACTATTAAAAACAGTACAACTATTATTCGTTTTTGACAACCATGCATGCGTCCAAAACGTGTACAGTAGTCGTTCGCATACGTGGAAGAGGTTGTCGCCACAAGGAAGGACATAGCATCGGTAAAAAAACAATGAGCAGCTCACCATACTGTATCACATGGACAGGAAGTCCATATCAATACAGAAGTTGTATTATACACTGTAGTAGGTTCCCGTGCATTCACTCTCCAAAGCACCCGTACTAGTACTGGTTAAATGGATAACGTTATAAGACTTAAGCGGCAGCATTCATAAACGCCGCCAGCACTTGTTTGGTTTCATCGTCGGAGGCCCACGTGTTAAGCAATACTTCGAATTTCGCGCGACGATTGGCGATCAGCGCTGGGTTTGAGCGCTGCAGGGAGGTCCAGACCCCGGCTTGGGGCATGTCTTCGCAGCTGGGAGTTTTGCAAAGGCTGTCGTGGAGCTTCTTGAATTCGCTGTACCGTTTGTGTACGGTTTGGCCGGATTGGTTTTGCACCGTGTAATGCACCACGCCCTTCACATAGACAACTTCGTCTAAAATCACGTACGCCTTGGCTGGCTCCATTTGAGTTGGGACACCGTTGTTTTCTGTTTCCAAAACGTCGACGGCGGCGGCGTCGTTCGAATGGCCATCAGCAGCTTTGGCCGGAATTTCAGCTACTTTGTCAGGAAGAACGACGGGAAAGTCCTCAAGCACTGGGTTTGTGTTCACGGTCGACGCGTCTACATCACTAGGCACAGGCCCCGTTGGCAAGTTGGATTGTGAGCAGCCCATTGTTCAAAGAACAATTGCAGAATGCTACGACTAAAGAGAGTTGCAAGCTTGTCCAAGCAGTGTTACTTCGAGGCAGTATGTGCGCTACTCACGTATACGGCACCCATATAGTAACAAAGTAGATCTTTCATGTCCACACTACAGCCATTCAAAATGCAGTAAGAATCGTGGCGCCGCCTATTCCTCTGCCACGTAATGAATGTGAATGCGACACCATATTTTAATAATGTAATGCCATGCATCTTGCAGTTTGTATGTACACGAATAAAATTGTCAACGCGAAAGCGTCCGCCTGGCTATCCTATCTCAAACCGCGTAATTGGGCTTGGAACGTTCCCACAATCTCACTCCAAGGTCAGCTGTTGTGTGAGTGCTCATGATGTGGTAGGAGGAGGACACAACGTAGCTCGTAGGTATGACTTCTGGTAGCATTCTTTGTCATTCGTGAGCAGTGTCATCATGGGATGCAACCAGTCGACTGCCGCCACCAATGCGACGGCGCCAGCAGAATGCAGTCACCACCATGTTGTGTCAAAGTATTCTGTGGAGGCATCCAACCGATCGTTGCTGCGCATAGCCGATCACATGGATGAACTCAAAGATGCTGTGCCCGACGAAGTTGTCGACAAGTGGGGATGGCTAGTCGAGCAACTTGTCGCGAAAGGCGAAACAAACGACAGCGATGGCGTAGCTACAATGGCCGATCAAGGTAGCCCTCCTTCATCTGAAGCCCCCGACGACGATACGGAAATCGTTCGAAGCGTGGGCCAACCTGCCCATGTCGATGCAACACCAGCAACGACCATCATTCCCAAGTTGGCCGAATCTGGTGACGTGGCACCACCGAGTCACGTCCAAGGCGAAACCGACGACAGCAACGTTGAAGCGACTCAAGACGTGGTCGATGGCCTTGTACACGAGGTCATTCAAGGCGCCTTGCTAGAGTCAGCCACAAGCCAGTCCAATCAAACAACGCCGACGTTGGATACGGCGGAGCACCCCATCGTGGAACAACACGTCGAAAGTGTCGAGTCCACCGCTTCAGAATCACAAGAAATCGTTGCAAACCACCCTATCGTGGAGCAACATGTCCAAAGTGTCGAGTTCACCGCGTCAGAATCACCAGAAATCGTTGAAAGTCCTGCTTCATATCATGCCATCCCGTCCGTCCCCTATGACCAGCAAGGTCACACGACGACCTTACCCTTGTCACCACACGACCAGCCACCACAACATGAGCACGTTGACTCTATCGTAGTGGATGACGTGGCACTCGGTGAAGCGTCCTTGACATCCACAACATACGAGAGCCCGTCACCTCGTGTGGAAACCAACTGTGTGTATATATATATAGTAAGGTGGAACAGAACCTTACATTATTTGTAGGTTTGAGTGTCGAGAGCCATGCCACTACCGGTAGTCACAACGACACCACGTCCCAGCTAGTACAGGTGCAGCCGCCGGAGTCTGAACCAACGTTATGTCAGCCACCGACGTCGAAGAGTTGGGCTGGTGTCACTGGAGGTAGGATCCAAGAAATGTATTCTCGCCCCGGAACTCCTGTATATATTTTCTATTGATGATTGACATGCTGATCATTGTGAGTAGCCCCTCCAACGTTTGAAATTCGTGGCACGATCGTGGAAGGGGGCGTGGTCAAGTATATCATTTGTCAAGTCCCCAACGGTAGCGCCAAACCGGTTCATCGTCGATTCAACGAGTTCAAATTGCTGCATGCGACACTGACTCCTATTATGGCCATTCAACGAGGCGACCAGCTACCTGTGAAAATCCCTCCAATCCCTCAAGGAGGTATTAAGGACTTACTACGTACGTACAGGATACAAAATGACTGGATACGGTCGCTCGTAGGGTTTTACACGCGGCTCTACCGGCAAAATCAAACGCTGATCAACGAAAGGTCGCTTGCGTTTGAAGCCTTGCTCAATGCCATTGCTGCCCATCCACTCGCATCCGAAAGGGTCGAATTTCTACAGTTCATAGCCTAGTACATACTACAATATCCTTCCGGTGTTGTTTGTTTTAAATACACTGGTGTATATCGCATATGCCTTGACGATGTTAAGCTGTCGGTTGCTTGAATATGTATTACGACTAGTATTAATAGTATTGCATAGTATATAAGAATACTATATAGTATGTGTAAAGCAAGTATGTAGGTAGCTTGGGACTACGTACTGTACGTAGTAGTTCACCGAAGCTCCAAGTACCGAGGTTCTTGGAAGTGGAAAGGGACTTCAAATATTTAGTTTCCACGAATTGTGTCCAACCCAGGTTCCATTCAATTTCCTTAATATATAAATAGCTTGCCCATCAATGCGACTGTCAACAGTATAAATGTCCACTATGACGATGTTCATGAATATTTCAAAGTACTGTACCATGAGACAACGCAACCTACCACGTTTTTCAGCACGTTCTTAAACGTACTTCAACAAAGGCGTTTCATTCAACCCTGTGTTAACTGTAAATGTCATTTCGTACCATACTATATCCAGTACTACAGGACTAATACTGTAGTATATTTTTCAGTCTCCAAGGTTTAATACACTTTTTACGTTATAGGGTAAACCGATTTTGCAAACACATGGGTTCGGATTAAAAACACCGTTGGAGATGGTCAATTCGAAGTTCCGGATATAGAATAGAAATTCTTGCACTATCCGGAGGGTTTGTTGCTATTTCAGGCGAAAATAGCAGGACGTCATTCTAAAAAGTCCGAATAGTGCAGAAATAGAAACCGTAAAAACGAAGTTTGACTTTAACCTATGCTTTAGCAATAGGTTAGAATTAACCGTTGGAGATATGCTCCAAGAATCAAATATTTGGATCTGTTGGGCATTCAATTCACTTGGAAATTGGCAATGGGACGCAATAAGCATCATCAACCTCGACGACAACGTCAATCAATGCATCCTATATAAGCATGGCGCCGGTGGGTTTCTGACATGCAAGAACTGGAACGTCAGTACTTTTCACCCTGTGTCTTTTTCATTAACTATAATGTCATTTCGTACCATACTATATCCAGTACTAGTATATTTGTTAGTGTCCAAGTTTTAAATCATTTTTTACGTTATAAGGGTAAAACCGATAATGCAAACACATGGGTTCGGATTCTAAGAGACAAATATTTGGATCTGTTGGATATTCATTTCACTTGGAAATTGGCAGGGGGGACGCAATGAGCATCATCAACCTCGACGACAACGTCAAGCAAGGCGTCCTATACAAGCGTGGCGCCGGTGGGTTTCTGAAACGCAAGAACTGGAAACGTCGGTACTTTCAACTGAACGATGGTGAATTGCGATACTACGACACGACCAGCGGAGTCCAAAAGGGTGTAGTGCGACTCTCCACTAACGACTTTGTGGAAATCATGCCCCGAGACTGCTACAAAACGGGCACGTCTGCCTCTACCGAGTGGCGACTGGCAGTGAACACCCCCAGTCGCCGGTTTTTTCTGTCAGCGTCGACCGAATACGACATGTATCAGTGGGCCGACGCCATCACAAGGGCGTTGCCGGCATCTCGGCGTAAAGCGTGTGCGAACGATGGCCATACCGCCCGTCCAAGGATGTGTGCCACGATTTACTGTAAATAGCCACGCTAACATGTTAATGTTATTCGCTTTTTCATCTTGAAGCCATTGTCCTAACATTTAGGTACAATGTGCTAAAAAGTTGACGTAACAACGTCCAGTACAAGCTGAAATCCGCACTTGGTTAGGCATCCTTTATCAAATGCATTGATGTTGATTCAGCTGGTGAAAACTTACACTTGATGACAATTTGCTTTGCCTTGTCCATACTAATACTGTACTAGTAGTACTCTGGAGTTGGTTTTTAGTTCACTCAAATACAGTAATATACGTGTGTACTCGTATTAGTACTCTAGTTTCTGGATGCATCTACGAACCGTAGATCCATAGAGAAAGTGTTGGTCGTTGGGGTACAATGAAGGTCGTTGGTGACAATGCCATCGACCTGGTGTAACAGAATGAAGTTGCCAGTACTACCGGTAGTATGATTGCGAAGTATGGCACCAACCTGTCGTGGGAATGATGAGGATTCGTGAATTGTATCAAGTCATGCACTATGTATAGGAATCGAGTAACTTACTATGTTGCCGACTCCACGTTTCATTCCTGCAGACAACTCACTCTTCTGCCAACTGATCATGGACAAAAGAGTTTAACCTGCAAAAACATTAAAACGTAGTAACAGGGTGGCTAAAACCACTAACATATGCGTTCCCCCATTTCCACCTAACGTTACAAAAGCTAAACTTCACATGGCACGCATGTGTGTGTGTGCATATTATAATACTTTAGCGCGTTTCCATTGAGTTATGTACGATACTCGTTCTCTTACTTTTCTCGTGGAGGTGGGGTGGTGTCTGATTTGTTGTTGCTGCCCTTTAGCCATATACGTTATTCGTTAAAACCACATTGCACACGGTGAGGGCATGCCGAATTCGACCAAGAATGGCCTCATTTCGGTCCTAAATTTACCTCAATTTGACCACCGGCACAAGTACCGTAGTACCCGATGACAAGCCAATCATCACTACTGTACAATGTGGCACGATCGTGGCATTCTTCCTCAAACGACAACAACCAACACAAGCCAATTACTCTCATCATGGTCATCAAAGCTGGAGTCATGTACAAGCACAATTCGCCGCTGCTTTGGTGGCGGCCTCGGTGGACGCCATACGTGTACACGCTTACAAACGAGCACGATCTGCAAGCATGTGACGTCCACAGCGGCAACGTCGTCGCTGTCGTCGCGTTGGCAGATTGTCAGTTGGCATATTCGTGTGTGAAATCCCACGCTGACATTGAGTGGTCTGAATGCAGCAAGCCAAAGCAGACCAACAACGAAGGGCTACCATGGCGACTGCGCCTGGACAGCAGCAAGCGTTTTAGAGGCAGCGGCATTGTGTTGGCCATGGCGAGTGAACGAGATTGGGTCGAGTGGATTGAAGCGTTGAAAAGCATTCCAAGTATGACCACCACCACTACCACAGACGACAAAGTAGCGACCACATCATCCACAGACCCGCGCCGCTCCAGCTCGTGCACAACACATCGGACCGCCACAGGCAGGAATACACAGACCATTCTACTCAAAAGTGCCATCAACCAAAGCCTCGAACAATACGAACCAACCAAACCAACTCGCTCAACATCGGCCAAGTAACGTTAGCCGTAATTTAACATATTTCAAGCAAACTAATTACCTGCGTCGTTGCTATCGCCCGTTGTCGACGCCAGGCACAGCACTAAGTGACTTGAGCCTGCGATGTTAGCCTTTCAACTCCACCCATCTTTTGTAGGCTCCATATGGATACGCTCAGGGCACATGATCGACTGCATATGCTACAGTATCGACTAAATCCTCCAACACCAGTCGACGGGTCGACCTATTCGCTTCACTCGTCCATCGTACAGATGGGGTCAATCTTAATGGAAATAGGCTCTGCTCAAGTTTTTGTCATACTAGTTAGTATGTGGTTGGTTACCCAAGGACCTACACCAGTATCAGCTGTTTACTTTGCGTGATCAACACATCGACGTGAGAACCACGACTAAGTAGCCAGACCACCCCTTCCAGGCTCGGGACGTATGAGACAAAGTTTCACTCTACCACTACATACTCATCTTCTTGTTGGGATAAATGATAAAGTGGTCGGCGACTACTGATGAACGACCACTGGAGCTGACTGGCTTGTCAAACAAGGAAGTTGGGAGCAGCCCATCCAAAGCTGCAGCCTGCACGGCTTGTGTTTTGTAGATTATCACATCATCCATTGGCACTTGGACGCGCCAACGTGAACGCATCGGTTCCACTTGGCCCGATACTTTGTCGCACAAGGCGAACAGTTCACAATGCAGGCAGCCACGACAGTAAACACACGGCGCTTTGTCGCATATTTTGATCGACGACGTTGCGATGTCGTCCCGATCATGCGCGCGCAGATCCAAGCTATGGATCAAACTCAATCGAACTTGCTTGACCGTTACGGTAGTGTCGTTGGTAGTAGGCGGTACACACGTGACAAAGCAGTCGGCGCCTCGGGGACTGAAGAGCGGCAGCCGCTGGACTCGACAGCACTCGTCTAAAAGGGAGTGCAACGATCCCCCCACTTGGTCAACCGAACACACAGGGCGCCGTAACAGTCCAAACAAAATGCGCTGTTTGAGATCGTTGAATTGGCTCGACGCAACGTGGCTTCGTAACGTTGTTGGCCCCCCTTGTTCTATACATTCCAAAGTTGGAAAAACAAAGGAAAACCAGAAGTCGACATTTCGTACTGATGCTATATTGACGCAAGAGCTTTGGAATCCACACGGAACGCACGATGGGCACCGATGCCAACAACATGAGCAGGCCGATGGTCACTAAATAGTGACTCTTGATTAATCTGTGCCACGTCATATACAACACGACGTACCCAGTTCAGAATCCACAGCATCGTAGTGGTGCTCTGGGGGCAGGAATACGGTCAGGAGGGGCTGAAATAGCAACAGTAGCGGCGAATTGCACACAATAAAGACCAACGGACCAGCATACAAAGACGCAGTCAATGCCATCACCCCCGGATCGAGAGGTTGAAAATGGCGTTCCCAGCAGTGTCGCTTGACCAGCGGCGTAATAAATCGCATGGTTAAGTACGCCGCCCACACCTACATTGTTGACCATAAAGTATCAGGACGACGACTGTACCGTACAGTAGGTGGACGTATTCAGAAATAGCAATGTACACATGTATCATGAGTAGGTATGCGTACCGTGCGCGAGCCATATAAGCAGCCGACGGCAAACTCGGTGACGTCTGTCACTTGTGTCACTCGAATGGTGGCCACCCCCAGGTACGCAGCCCCGACAATACAATCGACAGTCATTCCAACCACGACAATAGGATGGCTAAGTATAAGCCACTTAGGGTCCCCCACATCGACAATGTACTCCTTGACTTGGTAGGTGTGGCACTGTGTGTCCAACCCGATGGCACGCAGGTTGCGCACCAACGGACCGTAGTGACGGTAGTAGACGCGCCACATCAACCACAAGATGTACACACCCAGTGCACAGCGCCAGGTGAATTTGACCCAGCACATGGCACGACCGCCCCATACTTGGCCGCTGTGGTACACAGTGTAGTAGGTCGAATCGGGGATGTTGACTGGTGAGGCTTCGTCTGGCTGCACCCATGTACACGTGTCGACTACAGTCACTCCAAACAGTCGGTTCTTTTGACAATGGTGCAGCTTCATAGAAAGTCTAGACGAGGCGTTGGCTGCCACAAAGTCGCACACAAATTGCCGCTTCTCGAGGCTGTAAAAAATGGCGGCTACGTTGTCTGTCAGAAACAAGAGATACATGTGGAGGAGACACATACTGTACCTGGAAATCGGGCTAACCACGACCTACAAGGCATGGAAGAGTCGCCGTGTGTAGGCAACGACAAGGCAAACCGCAATAGGTACGTATTCTTAACATGGTCCCTTGAGATCGTCGTGGATGGCGAGACGGTGGCGTTGTTGTATTGGGCCGACAGGAACGCGTAATTTGACAATATACTAGTATTGATCTCCAAGATCTCCATCCAAAACAAGCCATGTTGAAGAAGATTTTGTCTGACAACAAGCCCAATGTATGGAGATACCGTGGCTTCCATCTCTTTGAACTCGTTGAGGGCGACACCGGCCAGAGATTGCTCGAAGCGTATGATCACCGGCACGGCAACCGCCCCTTGTTCGGCAGTGTAGCCAGCCAACTGCAAAACCGTCGCATTGTACACCTTGTCGTCGGCTTGGATGGTCGCCCACTTGGAAGGGGTCGTGTAGTACGAGTGACACAGCGAAAGGGGGGGTTAGACACCCAAGAGGGCGTTCTTGGTCGCGTCGTTTTCGTCGCCACTGGCGGTGATGTCCACGAAGGCAGGGATGCCGTTCTTGGCCAAAATGTGTTCCTGGCCGCCATTTTGCAAAACCCGCTCTTTGCCCAGAACTTTGGTGCCATCGCGATGGTCATCTGTGACACGTATTCACCCACGGGTTCGACAACTACAGTTCCAAGACTAGTTCCCGTCGCAGTACACGGAAGAAGCAGATGCACGTTATTCTACTTGTCGTTTGCCCAAGCTTCGTGCTCCAAGAACCCGCCTCGCGAAGCATTTGCCGGACCCGCACCCGCCCGGTCAGTTCCGCGTGACAGGGGTGTTGCAAAACAACGCTGAGTTTGCCCGTGTGTTCCAGTACCCCACCGACTCGTACTTGAACCCGTCCAAGAAATGTTTGTGGGAATATGATTGATAGATACGAATATATGTAGCATTGTGATTTGGTAAGGAAAAACTAAGTAAACGATGTCTTGGTTTCCTCGCCACTCATATCGGCTTGGCCGCCCCTGCTGTCCATGCGCTCCAACTTGAACCTTTCCCTCCTCGCTCCAACAAATGATTTGACCAATCAACTTGGCCGATACATCGTCGGTCGCATCCTATGTACCAACATTGCAAGCCCAACGTCGACACCTCCACTACTGTGACATCGTCGGCTTTGTCCCCGAAGTGTGCGAGGACGCTCCAGTTTAGAATAATTACAACAGTACCAAAACCTGCTCTCCTAAGTTAAATGCTAAAGACACGGATTGTATTTTCAAATATACTAAGAACATGGAGGGCGGATCGAAGCACGTTGACCAAGCTATGATCACCACATAGTTCCAAGCGGTGGTCAATACCCGTGGAGCAAAGAACTGTACACCGGGGGGGGGACGCTTGAAGTTTATGAGCTAAGCAGCGCATGCACAACGGCAAGAACGGCGCGGCGGCGCTCAAGTCGGCGTTTCGGGGTTTCGGGGCGTGGTGCACAAACTGGAGGGCGTCGAAGTGGTCCCCCCTACGGCTATTGGCCACGGCTTGGGACTCGGTGGCGATAATATCTTGGTCAACGTGTTTTGATCCACCGTCCACGTCCTTGGTATATTTGAAAATGCAATCCGTGTCTTGGACATTTAACTTAGGAGGGCGGAGTTTCTACCTGTTAGCCATAGGCAGACAAGGATTGAAGTTACATAGATAAAGCTATATATATTAGATTGAAGCTGGAAGAGCTCCAGGTTTCACATCCCTTGACCACTTTGGTGTGTCGAGGGCCAATAGCTTTATTGTTTTGATCCTACACACACTACTTGAAGGTTGCACATGTTGAGAGACATGGCAAACTTCAATTAGTGATGCTAAGGTTGTCCAATGAAAATGCGCCAACAATGCATATCTTTCGACCGCTCGTCCTGGTGCACATAATGGACACTAACGGCCTTACCGATCATGAGTCCATGAGCCGATCTCTAAAAAGGCTCATAGGTCTTTCTGCAGCGCCATACAGAACACGCATCCACAGCCATTGCTTGTTAGCATAGCTTCCCTACCTACACTTCACACAGACAGATTTTGATGCCGGCTCAAGTAGTTTACAGAAATGAAATACTTCTAGTAACGTTATCATGAGTTAGTTGATGCCTTTCGATTAGAAATATCTTGTTAAGGTTATGTTTTGCCAGGCCCTGTGAAGGTGTGGGGCGGGGTATGATGATGAGCCACCAATGCAAAGCCTCTCCAGTTACCACCAGTGATGACATTTCAAAGGGCGATGTGCAGTTAGCGGCGGATTGTTCAGTGTATACGTATGACCTTCAAAACTGGAATCGACACAAATGTGTACCTTAATTGATGGGGCTGAAGTGAGAATCACAATCTCAGAACATACTCGTTCAGTTAGTCCCGTAGCCCAGTTCTGTAACCACGGATGGCCCCCCCAGACCCCCAATGACTACCGTACACAGTACATAGTACGAGGACTACCTATTCACTATATGGGGTTTGAACTGTCGAGTGCAATGGCTTGTCGACAGCTACAATATATACTTATGAAATGTCCAAAAGTTTCGTGATCGAATCATGTTTCTCCGATATCTTGAGCTAACAATGCGTGGTAAAATGACACGTTTGAGTCGTTAGACTGGTATGGATGGTAATTCTACGACCCTCCGCGAAGGTTATGCTAACCGTTGGTTCAAACTGATGTAGTCTCCACCATGCACGGATCGACGATCCTGCTATTGGCTAGCCACATCATTGTGATACTGGCCAGTGTATATGCCCCCGTGGTGTCGATTCCAAAGCCATATACACATTGAACAAGGTCGACATAGTCTCGCATGTACGCAGAGTTGACCGTGTTGCTGCGATCAAGCATTCGTGTGATTGTTGTTGGCTTGACGTGTACGGAATAAACAACCGTAGGAGATCGAGACAGTCTGTTCAGTTCTGTAGAATGTGAACGATGTCATGGCTCGGAGCAGGTTGTAGTAGGCCTGTTGGCTGGCCTTCCAGGGAGCATCCACACGTGGAGGGTTAGGGGACATGGATCCGCCGTACCTGTACTGTTTGGAGTACTCCAAACTGCACTGCCAAGAATTCCCCCCAAATTTGTCCTCAAAGACCAACACCGGATCCATTTCACTGATGGCCTGGGGGATGTTTCGCAAGAGAAGCAGGACAGTTTGGATCCCAATCACGTGGCCTACAAGGTACAAGTACTGGGCAATGTGCTTGGTCAACGGCCAGCTCCAAAGCCAAAAAGTCGCTTCCTAGCAGCACGATTAGGAGTTGTCGGTGACCACAGGTCCCACAACCAATCATAATGTCCAGATGCCCCCAAAACAAGGCGCGCTTGAGCCACATGGAGGGCTTTTGATTGAGTGGCCCCTAAAGATTGAAGCTGACTGGTCGTAACGAGGCTTGGCGTCACCTAGGATGCCCTAAAATGGTCGACATTCACTGCACTAGTGATGTCGGGGATAAACAAAGGGGATATTGTGCATTTCACGCGAAATTTGGACTTCTGATTCATATTTCGCTACCAGTTAATATGATTTCCACTCAAATCAAGGCAAATAGGAGGCACAGTTGTATATTCCCATTTGCAAAAACACTGGTAACGTTACTAGTATATTCCAACGTTAACGTTATTCGTATGATCAACTCCATGCGATCGGCTCAACGTACTACGTGGCACTTCACACGACGTTCTCACGCCCAAACTCAATGCTCTATCATTCATCAATCGTTGCACGTAAACCGTCCATATGGACGGTTTCACCTTTGTAACCGCCGCCTTGTCGGATGTCGGCGTCGGTGGTCGAGCTCCACGGGGACGTGTACATCAAGTTTGCCCCCCCGGGCACGTCCAAGCGGCACTCGTGCAAAAGTTGCGATAAGTTCACGCCGTCGTGTGTCCAGTGCAAGAAGCGGCGGCGGAAGCACAAGCGCCAGGCCGCCGCACGACGCACGTCGATCTGGGAAACCGCGTCGCTGAACCGGACGTGGGAAATCCCAGACGAAATCAAACTCCAACTGCCCCTCGTGGCCACAGGTGGTGCTGCCACGTCATAGCCCACAACGTGGCTGAGTGATTGGCTAGAAAAATCGGACGGCGTCCCAGCCCGCGACACCTTCTTGGAATGGTCGGGGCTGTGCTTACCCCCTCCGCCCTCGGCCGTCCGACACCATCACCACTACAACCAGGACGGAGGCCACGACCTAACAAATCAGTCGCATGTTGCCACACGAAGTAACTACATTCGCACGGGAATATGGTGGATGAGTGAATATTTATTGAATAGGCGCAGAAGCGCATACGCTGTCGGAATCCCAGCGAAACAGCTACTTTGGGGCAACTGGCGCGGCGTCGATGAAAGCAATTTACTCGAAACTGGCGTCCCAGCGCGTACGACCACATGATCTGATTCAGAGTCAGATTGGGATATCATATATATATTATATACGTCTGATTCTGAGTCACAGTGGGATGAGACATATACATATTTGCGTCTGATTCTGAATGGGCAGTACTTGCAAACGGGCGGGACAGATGGCCTTGTGGACAAGTTCAAATCGATGCTGGCCAGCCAAAGCGAGCCGTCTCCCGACGCCATCGGAAGCCTCAACTCCAACGGTACTTTGATATATATATATGAATAATCAAGATATGATTGCATGATTTGGAATGTCAAATATATAATTTGTAGAAGCGTTTACGGCCCGGCACAAGTTTCTATCGCTATGTTTAGACCACGAACTTCCCCCATGCCTCCGTCTGATCATTCGGAGCAAGGTATACTTCTCCGTGCTTCAACAGATATACATATATATATATTAATACATATATTAATATGTAGGTGTCGCCTGAAATCAACGTCTCGCACATGAGTATGGGCGACCAACTGGTCCAAGGTATATTTTATATATATACATATATATTCATATAGTTATGAACTAGGATATACAAGTACTAGTTGTTGACATTGATATTCTTGACAGAATGGACTATACAATGTGTATTTTGTATAGTATTTTGCGAGTGTTTGCTTGAATTGCCCATGGTGTTATCCCTCAACCTGCGCAACAATCGGCTCACCGACGTCGGCATCCCAGCAGTCGTCAGAGTACGTTCGAAAGCATCTAACATTTTAGTATAAGGATACTAGTAGTATAGTGTTCTATACTACTAGTATACCAGTATAAGTATACTAGTAGTATAGTGTTCTATACTACTAGTATACCAGTATAAGTATACTAGTAGTACAGTATTCTATGTGGTTTGGTAATAGAAACGTGGGATTTGCTGTATAGGTTGTGGCCAAGAAGCACGACTTGTGTTACTTGGATTTGAGTGAAAACAAAGTCGACGGAGAGGGATCGTCGGCGTTGGCTTCGTATATGGCTACCCCCTCCTGTGGCCTCTCCACGCTCATCCTAAGTCACTGCGACATTGGTACGTATATATATATATATACATATATAGATATATTCTTGATGATGAACGAAAGAAACTCACAAAAATCTATTTTCGTTAATACTAGTATTATTTGAAGTTGTTTTTCTTAAATTAATATCTGTGTAAGCTTCCATCGATTGTTTAATATTTTGATCGACTTGGATTCATTATTTAGTCCTCCCGAATCTCTCCCATTGCTCCGATTGGTCCATCCGGAATTCCTTGTCACTCATTGGCTAAAGTTTTGTTTCTTTTTACTACGTGCTTTGAAACTTTGAGGTGAGATTTGAGATTGGTTACCACTCTCGCAGAATCATACAACACACAAAATGTAGCAACTTCACAATATATATATATAAATATATATTTCCAGGTGTCTTGATATGTACAGCGATATGGATGTCATCATGTTGTAGACTTGATCAACATATTACCTACTGGGGTCGTGTACGTATCTTTGTCGTTATGTACGTCGCTCGTATAAATGTATTTATATTGTTCATTTCACCCAAATTTGGACTTGTGTGAGTTACTACGCAGTATTTCGCCAAATATAGCCTTCGAATCCATGTGATCCAATTTAAGCTTGTACATACTATAATGTACAACGTATATTAGTATACATCTGGTATTGCCCAATGCGGAGGCCGAATCAAACGTTTTGGATTGGCGCGACATTATTCGACAGAACATGATTTGATTGGCTTGGGCGGTTCTTTCATCCAATATATATATATATATATATATGTGTAATGTACATGAACGAATCTTCAACTAGTACTCACAGTTCCTTGGTATACACTTATCTAGACGATACGATATATATATATATAAATAGTGTACAGTACATCAACAAATTTTCAAGTAATACACACCGTTGCCTTGGTTTACACTTGTCTAGAGGATATATATATATATATATATTTATAGTGTCCATGAACGAATGAATCTTCAACTTGTACTCACCGTTAGTTGCGTTGATATACACTTGTGTTTTAGACGATGGCGAAGTCGTAGCATTTGCCAAAGCTCTATGCACCAACCGGACATGCCATACATTGGACCTCAGTCGCAACATCATTGGCAGCAACGAAGCGCTCAACGTAGTGCAGCCGGACTTGGTCACTGGCGGCGAAGCCCTCGCTGAAATGCTGGCTACCAACGGACACCTGACTGTGCTCAATCTAAGCTGGAACTTTTTACGACTCAACAGCGCCGTCGAGCTGGGCCGGGCGTTGGCTCAAAACAACAGTAGGGCTAGTAATACTAGTAGGTCTACTACTCATCGACTACTGTAGCGCTCAAAGAGCTCAACTTGAGCTACAACGCGTTCGGGAACGACGGCGCCCAAGCGATTGGGTGTGCTTTGCAGCGCAATATATGCGTCGAGAGTTTGGACATGTCGCATAACAACATCCCAAGCAAGGCGGCGTTTGTCATAGCCCAAAGTTTGCATCACAATGACACGCTAACATCCCTTGCGATGGACGGCAACCCGTTGGGGCGCATCGGTTGAATTGACAAGCTTTTTTTTTTAATTTTTCATTTATAAGCCGATGCAAAGGGAAACTAAATGAAAACTATCTATGTCTAGGCGGTGCCACGCTGCTCCAGGCGATTTCTACCGCGTACAACAAAACACTCAACATTTCCCTGCTCGGGTGCAATTTTGACATTGACGACTCGAGTGGGTTTGACCCGACCAACGCCACGGTAACCTTGTATTAGTGTGTAGGAAAAGGAAATATGCTCTTATTTAAGAAGCTTTCATCTAGTTTTTTCGGGGATGTTCTGCATTATTGTGTTTTGAAGCAAAAAAATTGGTATTATTTTCGGTAGATTCGATGAACGACGTTAAATCTATCTGACATCGTCGAGGCGTCTTTTGACTTGAACTAAATATACTCACTGTGAATCCTGTCCGAAACAACGTTGAACAACTCTTTGTGACATGGAGAGAAGCTTGGCAATGCACTGAATACTGTACATGTGCAAATTGATTGGTTCAAAGGTTTTATTCGATAATTTTATTGGCTTTATTTATCCTATTAAAAATATATAAAGTACTTCGGTCCGTCGATTACTGCGCGTCGATTTTGCTTGGTCGATTCGATTGACAGCCCCAGTCCATTTTGAAATTGAAATATTGTACCAATATAACGTGTTTTTAATGGATTTGGTTTACACTTACTATATGTATGGGGTTGTGTAGGGATCATATGACTTGAATATGGACGTGCCATATGAGCGAGCAATTGCGCTGGAGCTGCTGCGCCTTGCCAATACCCAAAAAGGGTGCAAGTTCCTATCGTTCAACCACATCTTAGACAAGGTAATTCAATCATCAGCCAAAACAATTGATTGCGTTTTTCATCTTGTTTTACTGCATATTGTATGTAAATAATACGTCCAGATATTGTCGATTTGATACAAATTTGGGGAGGGGGTGCAATCGAATCGCTCCGACGGAACCGATCCACAATCGATCTGATTGGTTGAATTTCATTGAGGAGGTTTTGATTGGCTAATAATTTTGAGCTCATCTGAAGTAGCCAATCAAATCGATTTAAATTCCAACGAGAAACCACACCACAACACGAAATTTCACTCGAAAGCACAATAAAGTCACACACGTCTTCAAAGTTGAATGGCTGAAGAGTGAATTTGATTGGCTGCTGGAGCAGTGTTCTTGGTCCTGATTGGCCAATGGATTGGCCAATGGATTGTCTGGGTGCTTATTGTTCGGAGTTCCAAAACTACCGTATTTGCCGTTGATATCTGCACCGTGAAATCTATCAAACGTGAGTACAACAATTCTATAATTCAATATAATCGCAAAATTCCTAGCAGACGATTCGATTGTTTAAATCATTGTTCAACTTGAATTCATTACGATAGTTCGGCTTGCGAGTCAAACATTATGAAGTCTCTTGATATTAAAATTAATAATAATAATCTGAATATTTATTCGCCAAAGTATATCACACGTTTGTCTATATCAGACAACCCATGCGATTCCAGTGGAAAAAAGAGAAGTCAACAAGGCCAGAGCTAAGCTCGTGACGCGGCGGGCCACCCACGCTGTCTTACGCGGTCGGATGGCTCCAGACAAGTTGGACACACTCTTCAAGTACGTCACAAAACCTCGTATATACAAGGAATGAGAAAATACATTATCTATCGATATATATATATATATATATATATATATATACGAATGCAGCGTATATCTATGCTAATGACATTATATATATATAATTATTCATCGCTACGACTCTTCTATATACTGTACAATGCAGTAGAATAACTGTCAAGGGATATATAATACTAGTATGTACGATATCCACTCTACGATCACAGATGAAGTATATATATTCACACGTATAGCAATATATATTATATATATATATAGATGTGGCTTGATTTTGACAGAGACCTTGATTCGCAACCCCGAACGAACCGAATGCATGCATCCATTGTGCTGTACTTTATTGTTTCGAAAATCGGAATCGTAGACTACTTCCTCATATAAATATAAATAAATATATTTTCCTGAATAGAGAACTCGACGCCGACGGATCTGGCAGCATCGAAGCGTCGGAACTACACAAAGGAATGCACGCCCAGGGCCTGCATTTAAGTCTCAACGAAGCCAAGCAGATGGTGGGCCGGTACGATTTGGACGGCACTGGCACGATTGAGTTTCCAGAGTTCTTGGACCTGATGTCCCAGTATTACTTTGACGATAAACCCGTGACCGAGTGGGTCGATACGTCGACGGGCATGCCGCTGGAAGTGCCGACGTCTGGGCGACTGAAATGTGAGTTTCTGGACCTGCATATCCCGTCCGAAGCCGACGAAACGGTGTCCAAAGCGGGGGTTCAGCTGCTCATTGAAAACATTGCAAAAGATCCAAACCAAATTGAGTTGATTCAACTCGCCAAACGTACGTTTATATAGGAAAAGTAGGTATTCCATTGGTGTACTGAACGCAGTAGTTAGTGGAGGTGTTTTTTAATACTATATATAGTCCATATACCAGTTTGTTTGGATGTATTATATATATACCTAGTAGTACTACGAGTCGTATGTGTTTTATGGTGATAGATGTACATACGGGTATATGTATTTAGAGGGTATAGAATGAAACCCATGATTGGATCGTTCATATATATATATATTCATTTGGTTATATACATTTAGATATATATATTTATTGATTTGAATATTGGGGATTGTGATAGAAAACATGCATTTGCGCCAATCGGAAGCGCAGTTGTTGTTGGACACGATGGTCACCAAGATGGATATCGTGGACGCTCTCGTCATGTTGTTGCCTCAAGTGGTATGTATATTATATAAATATATTATATATACTGTATAAATAAGTTTTGCAAGGAATATAGATACTTCTGGTCATATGTATATATTCCAAATATATTGTGAAAACAATGTAAATGACGAATATTCTAGGTGGACGCCAATCATGCGTGTCCGCTGATTGAACTCAACACGACACCAGCTCAACGACTACGATTGCAAGCCCATCTACGCGAAATGTACGTATACTTGTTGATAAATACATATATATATATATATATATATATATATCATCCAATATAGCATTCGAAATGGCGATTTGGCAGAAATATGGGATATATATAACATAAACCGTAAACTCAAATGATAGCCGGTTGTAGGTTTGGGCCGATTGTTGGGATGGCCACAGGGCATTACTCGTTGGATTTGGGCGACGACCACGACAGAGCGTCGTTTAAAAAGGTTAGTTATCCTTTCATATCGGTCATACTGGTATATAAACGAATACGTACAGTACAGTATCATTCTATTTTGGCCAATCAGGTTCACGTATTCCGAATCCGCTGGTTTGATTGGCCTACGAAATAAAGCTCATTGGCCAATCCGACTCCTGTTGTCATTGCTTTCACCCAAATTTTGGATTTTGGTGCTGATTGCTTGCACTGAAATTTCGTCTATATAATGTGTATAAAGCCATGTACACTATTTGAAATCACACACTAATTCGATGGTTGCATGAGTTGGATTGGACACTTGACAGAGTTCTGGGTTTGGATTGGTCGGTCAATATTTCATTTTATCCAATCGAATTGACAATGTCAATATTCACTACTTCTTCTTTCATACTACTAACTAGATCATGGAGCTGAACAACAAGCTCATGTATTACCGCCGCACCAAGAACTTAAAAGACACGAGTCAGCATGAAAACTACATGTGTTTTCGCAACGAACTGTACAACAACAAGCCGATGGTGATGACCCCGTCGTTCTATGACACACTGCCCAACTACGGATCGCTGGACTTTGATTTTGTCCAATTTAGCCGCCCGATGCCTGGTACTCATTCATCTATTTCTTGGACAAAATAGACGATGAATCATCTATATATTAGACATTTTACCCATGAGCGACAACCGGTTTAAACAACTCGTGGCGAAATTGTATTTGGATCGCATGGAATTAGCGGTCCCGCTGTCGTTTCGACGGGCGCCGACGCCAGCCGTCCGCACGTTAAACCCCAAAGTGTACGACGAATTGATCGACCTCCAGCGGTTCCGCACGCGTATCCCCGAGTTATACGTACGTTTTTAATAATATGGTTTCGTGGCCATGTGGAAAAACGCGTTTTATATCGTTAGAACCGCGACATTGCCACGCCCATTGAGTTTACCCCGCCCAAAGAACAACACGACATTACCCCCGAACGGGTACGTCCGAGAACCCCAACTTCCCCATGGATCGTACAAATCCCGATCGTCGGTCGTACATAAGTACTTACGACTACTAACTAACGTAGTTAATACTAGTACAACACAATAATACATTGCTTAAACTTGAGAAAAACCATGGTTTTATTACTATGGTTCATCCCTTCTTAACGTTAGGTCAAGTATTCTGGGCGGCGGCTGTTATTAGAGCTCCAAGCGCTGTTTTGCTCCAGATGGATCACAACTCGCCAAGCATTGTATGTCCTTGCCAAATGGCCATTGGCGTTCGGCACTACCAAAGTGGACGCGGTAGGTTAACCGAGTTTACGTTAATGTATGTAGTTTAACACATTTCCGTAGGCACTCATGCTATTCGATCGCATCTTGGACTTGTACAATTATTCCCAAGTGTTTACAGCTCTCGTCGACAGCGAAGTCGCGCAGCTCATCTTTCGGCTCGGATGGCTCAATTTGTGGTCGCCGTTGATCCCAGAAATGTACTATGGTAATTTTCCCCACACTGCATTTATTGGGATATTGCCCCATTCTCGTTCTGGCCAGAGCTCGACTTGACCATATACGAACAACGCGAAGTCACCAAGGTGTTGGTCCAGCTCGCGATGGACGAACCCGGTAATTTCTTAATTACCTTGTATCGTCGTGGGGAAAAAGTCCCACTGGGCAGGAATAGGGGAAAACTGGCAAGGGGCGACGTTTGGATGGGATCGAGACTCGCCCATGCCAGGGTGGGTCCTCAACATGTCGTGGCTGACCCCGGGGAATTTTCCCCAAAAGGGATATCTCCGCGTCGAGTATTACTCGGGCGCAGACAAGGGCTGCAGTCCCGTGTGGGCCAGTCGCCACACGTCGGCCCAGAACGTTCTGGCAGAACTTCCCAAGCAATTCGATGTATTTCTCGCCCATCGGGAAGCTTTGCGACGTCTGGGACGACGGGGAAGTAGTGGGGAAAATGCCCCAAAGATCATCGACCCACTCGATCCCAACGCCCCCATCGACGAACTCTTGCCGGAAACCGAAGACAGCCTCAACCCCCCCACGACATCATTCATGTAAATAAAAGTAAATTGTTATATATTCTGGATAAATTTCCAGACCCCGTCGACACCGCCGAATCGAATCACGAATCGACGCTATTTGCTAATCCATTTTTAAGTGGATTTGATTGGCTCTGACACTCCAGCGCGCGTGATTCAATATTGATTAGACAGACCACGCGAATTTTGGCAGTTTATAGCGAATTCACAATATTGCCTTTTGATCGATTTTAAAAGCAGTACATACTACGTAGTATATGAATAGCGTTTATAGGAATCCAGCGCATACACTCTTCGTTTATCTTGACATATTTTTAATGGTTTTAAAACGTTACAAATTACCTCTTACTGAAAGAGTCCTACGGCCGTCCATCTCCTTTTTGAAATGGATTTGAATTACGTTTTGCTGCTTTTTAAATCAACCTCACAGATAAAAAACGCGATACAACGGAGCTATCGAAGGGGATGCTAAACCCCAAGAATCTATACAACGTGAAAAGCTATATATAGCATTGTATTGTATGAATCGATTCTATATATACATATACTTTTGGCATTGAGTTACCTATATCAATTAATATAACGCGATTGGTCCATCTCGGGAGCCAATCCCCATTGTCCACCACGACTGGTGTTGTTGCCATTTTCCACACCGAGATTGTCGACAGCATGGGAGTCCTGGACGCATTGCGCAAGTACCAGATCCTCGCGACGTCGTCCGCGGCCTCCGTCCCGCTCCCGGATGTGAATCCGGAAGACCTGTCCTCTAACTCGTTGGTGGAGGCCGTGGAAGCCATCGAGAAGGCTCGCAAGGCGCTGCCGAACCCTGGCCTCTACGAGAACATTCTCGGCGAAGTCAAGTCGGTGTTGATGCCTGGGACGTTCGAAGGGTTTCGTTTTGACCTGCAGCGCGGGTTGGGCCAGCGCTTCGCGGTCAACCATGCGCTTCTCCTCGGCAACCCCATGATTCCAGGTACCGCCGACCGCTTCGTGGGCGGCGATCTCATCGCTCATTTCGTCTGTGGCGGACGACGTAGGCGGCGTGTACCAATTCGGCGCGACGTGCGTCCTTGGGGATGGACCCGACCCGATGCTTCTCCGCGGCAACGTCTCCCACGACGGGTCGGTGGACGCGCGATGGCACTTGAAGCTCAGCAACGCGTTGAAGATGCGCGCCCAGGCGCAACTCAAGCAGGAAGCGCATGCCTCGCAAGCGATGGTCGACGTAGACTATGTCGGGGACGACTTTACCGCCAACGTCAAGGTCGCGAACGGCCTCTTGTTGGGCGTGAGCTATCTGCAGAGCGTGACGCGGCAACTCGCGATCGGCGGCGAAGGATATTACTATGGCAAGCACCGCAAGACAATTGCATCATATGTAGCGAAGTACAACGACCCCGCCGGCAAATGGAGCACCATCGGCACGTATGGAAGCCAAGGCACGTACCAGCTACACTACCTGCGCAAAGTATCGGAGCGGGTGCGACTGGCTACTGAACTGGTGTATAACCACGCCAATGGCGAAGCCCAGTCAACACTGGGTGTGGAAGTGGATCTCCGACAGACTCGCTTTGTGAGCAGCTTGGACCAAACTTTCAAGCTGGCCACGGCGTTGGAGTGCAAGGTATTGCCCCAGCTCATGCTGCTGCTGGCTGTGGAAGGCACGCCAGCGAACGACGATCTCAAGTTTGGCTACGGGTTTCAGTTTTACATGTAGATTTTAACCATGAAAGAGAAACAAGACGAAATGAGATAGACAATGGGATTGTATGCAACAGGCAGCAGCAATATAACCATATTGACTGCAAATGTAACGTCGTCTAACGTAAAAAACCACTACAGATGGCCCGAAAATCGACCCCTTTTAGCTGTTTTACGCTTTCTCAGCAATTGAGCTGATTTGGACAAACTTTCAACTATGCTGGTTTAGAGGATTGAACGTGTAGTTATTCCCATATTATTGCTGGTCAAAGTCAAAATTGTGAATTTTGACAAGATCAGTAAATAGCCCAAATTCACATGTCAGCCTTGAATACACTCACTATACATCGAAACAGTGGGACTCGTAATACTATTGTCATTGTGAAGCGTATTCACTAGAGTTTATATGTAATTAAATAAGTTTCGTCATGAAATGTGTCGGGCAATCTACTGTTACTACGTAGTACCATAGTTTCGTCATGAAATGTGTCGGGCAATCTACTGTTACTACGTAGTACGTATTATGTATGGGCAGAGTTCGTTTACAGTAAGTATGTAGTGTGGACCGCACCAATCATAAGTTTGGTGCGGACGACACTAATTCTACATAAAATTGAATATAAATCAAGATAAGTTAGTCCATGTACCAATTCTCCATAACTATGAAATACTAGTACTAGTATATTTGATAGTTCAAGATAATAGTATACGTATGGGGATGGTTCCATGGTTCCGTGACACTTTTTGGGACCCTTCGATGGAGGGGTTCCTTTATTCCAAAATTATATAGTGTTTCTTAAAGAGGAGAATTAATAATAGTTCGTTGGACTTAAAATCATATCGAAATTCGTATTGGTGTTAAAAAGCGAAAATATGCCTAGGCTAAAATCAGCTACATTTTATCCAGTTACCTCTCAAAACAATTACGTTATTCGATGGTGTTCTACGACTGCAAGAGCAAATGGACATCGTTGCATACACCCCAAACACCAAATATTGCACGACTGTGATCCGCACTAACGTTACTGATTATTACCAACCACAAATTCTGGAAACTCCATCGCACATGTATTAACGTTAGTGTGGTCTGAATCTACACTAATTCTCAATCCGTTGTAATTACGGTAATCGATGAAACGCTAGTTTCTATTGATACTACGATTGTCTAAAGCGTAAAAGCTGTCTAAAGCGAATTATGTAATACGGTAACGTCGTACTTACTGTAATCGACCAAACTACGAAATTCCAGGTTATCAAATCGTGGAGTGTGAATGGATATAAATTTGCTTCTTTAACCAAGTAGAATACTGGTAACGTTAGCATAAAAGCTATGCCTCGATTTCATTGGTTAAACTAAGATTAAATTGTCGCGCCGTTTTTCAGCGTCGTTCCCGGATTTGCTCCTAGGTTTTGGTGACTTTTGATTGGTTCTTGCACATACTACTAAGGTAACACATCGAATTCTTGGACAGAATCAATTTCTCCGACTGCAATAAAATAAACATAAATAGTGCATATTTGTATTCCACAATACAGAAACCAAGATAAAATCACTGTCCGAGAAATAGAAAATCACAAACTTTCATTCCGACGTTTACGACTGCTCCTTATAATCCTATACAAACAACATATTCAGTTGTTTTATGATCAAAAAGGAACTATAAAATAGTGCTCGGATTATATTTTCCTCATATGCCTTCAGATTTACGAAATTCAAAGGATTTCCAGATATATGTTGCGTCAAAAATTAGGCACGACACAACGCAAAAAGTCTTTGCGAATTCGATGCATTACCTTACTGTATTTACTGTTAAAAGAGTAAATTAAGTCATGGGTCTTAACCCGCTAAAACGGGAGCAAAAGCTTAGGTCAAAATACTTAGGACCCGTCTGGATACCACTTTTATTGAGAAATATCGCGATAATTTTGCAAAATATTCAAGAATCTCAGCGACTTCAATTTGGCGTGTCTGGATGCCATTTCTTGACCAAGTTATATTCCAAATTTTTATCAGAAATATCGTGAAAACTACAAGAAATAATATTCTACTCATGAGTAGAATATTTTGACGTTATTAATAGTGCGCGTTGAATTGACTGGGCATGTCGCCGCCTGCCCAAGGAAATCTTCGCCAGACAGATGGAGTACCACTACTTCGCCTTCGTCCACAAGACACCAAAGAGGACGTCCATCCTCAGTGGTCCTCTCTGGGTGGACGAAGTCCTCTGCGACTATGCGTCATCCTCTGATTGGCTGTTCATTTCCGAACTTTCTTTAATTCTATGACCACCCAAAATCATTTCTTGAAACCCAAGAATTTCCTGCAATGTTGAAAAATGTTTTTTATTCAATATTCCAATATCCCATAATATTGGTGGGTGGCATCCAGACGGGCCCTTAAGAATGATCTTGCTTAAAGTATGCAGTTCTGCAAATGAGAGAATTTCTCATCCCGAGCTTCAAGGTAGGCCTAATAAAATACTCAGAAACAGATTCTCTCATTTGCAGGGGCCAATAGAAACCCAGTAAATCGAAATATTCGTAATTGTACAATGCCATTGGCTAAAGTACGAATTTACTCGAGTATGATTGGCTCTCCTGGAATGAGAGTATCTCTCATTTGGAAAACCTCCCATCCAACCAGGTTAACAGTAAATTGATTGTTTACATTACCTAAAATGTCTCGATTCTGACGAGCAAGCAAGCATCATCCATCGAATTATTCAACGTTGCACGGTATACAGTACTAAATCTGTCTATTAGACAGATTTCGGAACACGTTCCCATGCATTTGCCGTCAATTTACCTCGTTAAAATTTATCGAGTTTACGGGAACTGTCAAAATTTATGTGGGATGCCGTAGAAACGGCCATTTGTACAGCAAAGGTCACCCCTCCTCTAGGGCTACATCATTGGTCTTAAATCGTGGATTTCAACCAGTCGCGCATAATGCACACTTCTTCACCCTTCCATGCCCGACGTGGCCTGGTGTCCAGCCTTTTCCACGCTAAGTTAGGCCATTCCGAGAGTTCAGGTGGAGCGATTACGTGCATCTTATCTTGTCTTATTCATTCAGCCAGTTATCCTGAACCTTCTCCAGCAGTCGGCGTTATTGCCTTGGTTCGTTGTCCTGCCACGACGATTTGAATATGGGGCCTCGGTGTTTCGCCTATAGGCGCATGAAGCGTACAGAAAACTCACAATTTTCATCCGCATGTGCACATAAGGGACATGGTTGAGTACTCAGTTGCGCCCCTCTAATCATGAACTAAAATCACCT